CTAATTCATAATAGAAATTAGGTTAGCAACTGAATTTCATTTATACAAATATCACCATTTGAACCTTGTCACCGATTATCTTTGTGTTGTAGGCCTTGGATTTTATACCATGTTTAATCATTTGAAATGTCATAAAAGAAAGAGTCCTTGGGTTAAATAACTAGTTTCCTCACTCAAATTAGCCTCTTAACCATTCTCTCCCAGGTTGGCTCAAATGTTACTACTTCTGCAATATGCATTGCAGACCTAGCTAAAGACCAAAAAATCAACACAGATATGCAATTGTGACGGCCAGGCCCGTGATTGCAACGGTTAGGTCCGCATATTGCGACGGGTCAAGTCTGCAATTGCGACAGTAAACTGGTTGACTTTGACATTTTTTTGTCTTTTAGCTATTGCGGACATGGATATTTGTAACACACCAAGATCACATTTGCATGTAAATATATATATGTTTTCATATATCAAGAAATATAATTCACACATTCGGTCTCCAATAAACAAAAGCTATGTTACAAAATAGCTAACTTTTTCCACAACATCTTTATATTACTCTTGAATACATAACAATTATTCAGATATAAAAGAAGATTTGTACTATCCCAAAATCCCATGCAAACATAATATTATCACTTCACAATTTTCATTTCCCTTTAACTTCTTATTATGCCCGATCTATAATGCACATTTTTGAAACACAAAATGAAGATTAGACTTTGAGGTCTAGTAAGTAATCTCTTTTATGCAATTACAGAGTGAAAATCACCAAATCATGTTTATAAACTCATATTGGTAATAATAACAAATATATATCATTTTGATATACCAAACCTCATCTATTACATAAATATCCAAATAACCCGATAAGCACATTATGGTTAAAACTTGTCGCATCATATACAACTTCTCGCATCACATTGATGAGATAAACCCAAGTCCTCGCAACACACTGGTGCGAGAACGTCAATTCTTCACATCACATTGATATGATAACCCAACTTGTCGCATTCAGTGGGTGCGATAAAACAACATTTCGCATCCTTGCATATAAGTACAAATTTAGATGTAGCCATCTAGACAAGTGAAATGGTCCTAAGTGATTTCATAACCTTTTTGTAGCGTTGTAGAATGAAGGCTACGCACTCGCATCACTTTAGTGCGACAACCACACTTCATCGCATCAATAGGATGCGACAACTTTAAGTCAACGCATCACACATATGCGATAGCTCTAAGTCATGCGATAATTATAAATGTTTGATCAAAACCTAGATTTTATAACTTCATGATTATGCCACCCTTATCCTGATATACATCTTTCATTGATATGTCACCCTTATCCCAGTATACATCTCTCCTTGATATGTCACCCTTATAAACCAAAATACACATCTCCTTGATATGTCACCCTTATTTTCACACATGATATAAACATATCCAAACTCACAATCATGCTAAAAGTAGCATCCATAAATAGTGTTATAAGCATATGTTCATATAGAGAACCATATGGTTCTATTTTCCCAAATTACCAAATAAAGAAAGTCTGAAAGTAGCCCATCTTAATCACAAAAAGATAAAGTTATGAAGATGAATAGCAAATAATCCAGATAATTACACAAAATCCCTTTGTCTTCAATTCTCTCTTGGCTTCTTTTTCTTTGTAAGAAACACACACACACACACAGAGTAAAACCTCTTTTCACCTACTTTTCTTTTTAAAATCTCGTCCAAAGGAGATGAACAAAAATTTATCTCATGTAATAAAATAAAGAGGTGGTGATGATTTTTTAAAAATATTAGGCATATTGACATATTAAATCCCTCCATTTATCATTGTTTTTTCAAAAACAATCCCAAACTTAAAACCGAATGTCTTGATTATCACAATATTACTGATATAGTGACATTTGGGTCAACGAAAGAGAAAAGTAGTAAATTAGAAGATCAATTTGAATGAGATAAATGATGATTTTAACTAATTTCTCTAAAAGAAATGCATGATGCTAATAAATAATTAAGGGAAAAAGACACCCTTTATCTCCTTTACACAAAAATACATATGATGATGACCAGTAATTATTCTGATTTAAATTTTCATACCAAGTGAAATGTAATTATATACAAACTCCAACATATAAGTATTTAATAACTTTATGTTTAAATTTTACATGGAATATTTATATAATATTATGTTCCTTTTTAAATCATGTTATGTTAAAAATACGTTTTGCAACAATATTTTTGTACCATTTAGCATTTTCTTTTACTTAATCGTGAGATTTTATAGTATTATTTTAACAAAAAATTTGGCTAAATTTAGACATTTGTAATACTATCGAGGTATTAGAAGGGTTTATTATAATTCATGTTATTGTGGTATTTTGTTTGCATCTTAAATAACTTTTACCACTTATACATGTTTCGTACGTATTAAGTTAAATATTTATTATATATATTTACATTCAGCTAAAAATTAATCCTAGGAATAGAATGTAGCAAACAATGCATAGCTGTTTCCTCCTTTTAAGTATTAATTAATCTCTTTTGTTCAAGGAAACACAAAGTTTGGTTTAATATGTAATTTTAAAGTGCAACTTAAAACTAATAGTTAAGCAAGTACAAATTTATTAACAAATAATTTTCGATAAATCATGTGAATTAAAATTATGTTTTATATATACTAGGTTCGACCTTGTGTATATTACACGGGGTATTTTAAATGAGGAAAACTCTAGACATTAACTCTGAAAGAAAACTCTGAACATTAACTCTGAAACACAAAAATTCAGAGTTCTATTGTTAGGTTGGAAAATAACTCTGGACTAAACTCTAAATAAGAGAAATTCAGAGTTGTCTTCTAAGTCTAAAAAGTATCTATGAGCATAACTCTGAGTCACAAGAATTCTGACTTCTTATAACTTAGAAACGTAACTCTGAACTTCAACTCTGAAGAGGAGTTCATAGTTGTATTTTAAGTCTGGGAATAAATTATGGAACTAAATTTGGAACAGAACAATTTAGAGTTATGTTGTAAGTCTGAAAAATAATCAATATTTGAAGACTTCATGCTGGTGATTTGTATCAATAATGTCATTTTAAGTGTAATGGGATTAAATTGTTAACCAATGTAATCATGATAAATATTGAACAAGTAAGGAAGATATGAAATGAACACTTGTTTGAGTTTAATTTGATCTAGTGGCGAAGCCCCTAGATCACGGGGGTCCGAGGGCAGCGCCCCCGGTGGCGGGGTCCAAAGGACAGAGCCCCTGGCTGGAGGCCACTCCAGAGTTTAATTCAGACTTACAACTCTGAGTTTTCCCAGAGTTATGTTGTAAGTCTGGAGGCCACATTAGAGTTAAATTCAGACTTATAACTCTAATTTTCCCAGACTTTCATACTTGTATGTCTTACAAGTCTGGAAGACAACTATGAATTTTAACTAAGGAAAAAGAGTTTAGACTTGTCCTCAGACTTTTATACTGGTATGTCTTACAAGTCTGGAAGCCAACTCTGAATTTTAACTAAGAAAAAGGAGTTCAGACTTGTCCTCAGACTTTTATACTGGTATGTGTTATAAGTCTGATAAACAACTTTGAATTTTAACTGAGGAAAAGGAATCCAGACTTATAAGTCTAAGGAATGGAAATCCAGACTTTTGTTTATTTAAGTATTTCAAAAGAAATCCATTTTCATCCGGAAATCAGTTATGTTTACAGGGACAGATGTTAATTAAATAGGCTCATTTGAACCAGTAATGTAAATTGTGTATACATACATGTTCAGTGTTCAGACTTCTAAGTCTGGAAAAGAAGTCTCCAGATTTAGAAACAGAAAACATATCAGAGATTTCTAATTAGTCTGGGAAATCAGTTAAACCACGAAAACAGGAAAATAAACGTGTAGATGGACAGATGTCACTTAAATAGGCCTATTTGAACCGTAAGTGAAAATTATGTCTAAATACATGTTTAGGCGGGAAAAATCAATAACCGTCGCCCAGAAACATGACACGTGTCCCAAAAGTTACTTATTTATTAGGTGTATATATATGATTTTGTTTGACAAATTCATCGTTTTATCCTTTTTTTTATGAAGAATATGTATGTATATATATATATATATATATGTGTGTGTGTGTGTGTGTGTGTGTATGGGTGAGTTCATTTGTTAATCCAATATATGGTGTTAACTTTGTGAATCAATTTTATTTATTGATCTTTAAAATTTGTGGTTAAGATCATTTCATGACATAAATTGTAAATAATTGCATACATAGACAAGGTAAAATGAGTGAACAATGTTTACAAGGAGTATTTTGAAAAAAGATTTTAGTTGTCCATTAATGATAATGAGATGTTTTGTAACCGCCCATTAATATTGACACTGTGATGTTTTGTAACTGCCATTAATAACAATGTAACTATCCGAGAATTAATCCCGTTGTCAAATTAAAATCAACAACAAGATCATCGACACCCGATATTGTACTCTCTTTTTTTTGGTTAATGGTTCATGTGTAACAGTTATTCGATATTTATGGGAATTGTTCATATGTGAACATAGGTGTATATGGAAAAAAGTCGTAAAGATTTTTGTAACATATACACTATGTAACCGACAATTAATTTGCATGAGATATTCATAATGGCAAGACATGGAATAATTAAGAAATGTAACCGAAAATTAATTTGCATTAAAAAAAATATCAAATAAAAAATTATATTTTTACCCTTATTAAATAAATTTATCATGTACATCAACCAAAAATGTATATTGTTTTCTATTGGTTCATTGAAGTTTGTAAAACTAACAACATATATCGAGTTAACAAATGAATTCACACATATATTATATATGAGAGTAAAAAATTATATAAAGATTAATTAATATTATTAACGGCTATTGTATTTTATTCTTTTTATCATTTTGCCAAAGGGGTGTGTCATATATAGTCTCTTCATTCTTTCTCCAGCACAATATCCTTTACACCCTCTCTCTCTCTCTCTCTCTCTCTCTCTCTTTCTCTCTATCTCTATCTCTCCTTAGATCTCTCTCTATCTCTAAAGACTAAGATGATGAAACCACAAAGAATTCTTGGAATGTTGACACAAGTCATATAAGCAATTAAGCTAGCCATAGAGGTAGCTTAAAACAGCTGATGACTTGCACTGGAATGGCCTTCTTCTCCAACAATTTCGTGTTACAAACCTCTCAAGAAGATGACCATCATGCTCCTCCACTTCTCCCACCTTGCACCACCACTCAGGATTTCAGTGGTAATTAATTAACCCCTTAACTACTCTCTCTCTCTCTCTCTCTCTCTCTCTCTCTCTCTCTATATATATATATATATATACACAGAGAGAGAGAGAGAGAGAAAGAATCCAAAGTAGAGTGTGATGCAATGATGAGATCCTGTATTAGGGTTTTCATCTTCTAGCAGTACTAAATCCAAATGGGTTTGAAGAAAGTTTAATTCTTTATGGATTAGATGATATATTAATATTTGATGCAGGTGTGGCCTCATTCTTGGGAAAAAGATCCATGTCTTTCTCAGGTATGAACAACATGGATGCATGTGATCAAGAAGGTGGAAATATGAATGGAGAAGATGAGTTATCAGATGATGGATCACAGCTGCTTGCAGGAGAGAAGAAAAGGAGACTAAATATGGAACAAGTGAAGACACTTGAGAGGAACTTTGAGTTGGGAAATAAGCTTGAACCTGAGAGAAAAATGCAGCTTGCAAGAGCACTTGGACTTCAACCAAGACAGATTGCCATTTGGTTTCAGAACAGAAGGGCAAGATGGAAGACCAAACAGTTGGAAAAAGACTATGATACCCTCAAGAGACAGTTTGAAGCTGTTAAAGCTGAGAATGATTCCCTCCAATCTCAAAATCACAAACTTCATGCTGAGGTAATAACACATAAATCAATTATATATATAGAGAGAGACAGTTTGAAGCTGTTAAAGCTGAGAATGATTCCCTCCAATCTCAAAATCACAAACTTCATGCTGAGGTAATAACACATAAATCAATTATATATATATATATATATATATATATATATTAATTGAAGCCTAATTGAACTTATTTGGGCTTAACTGAAAGTTACTTATACTTGGTATTAATCTAATGGCAATTGGATAACATTCTCTTTAAATACTCATGATCATTTTTCTGTCTTTAAGAAAGTTTAAATTAAGAGTTGCACAACTTACCACCAACAAAATAAATAAATAAAAATATTGTATATATAACAATTAAAATTGGTGGTCGGAGTTTCCTTTTCAAGCTACTAATTTGGCGGAGTTCATTGCGGCGCCAAAGTTCCCGTTCAAAGGCAAGAAGGTGGCTGAGGCTATGGAGGTGATTCTCTTGGTGTTCGTTTGGCTTATTTGGGCTAATCGTAATAATCTCGTTCATAATAAACCGGCTAAAATGGCGAAGGCGATCTTCAAAGATATTGTTCTCTTATCTTTCAATTGGCTTAAGGTTAGATCGAAAACATCTTGATTGGGAACTTTGGTGTAGTAGCCCGTTGAGGACGATTTTATATCCGCTAGCGACTTGCTAGCTAGTTGATTTTTGGTTTTATAATATTTGCCGTTCAAAAAAAAAACAATTACAAACCAAGTAGTAATTACTTTCCCTAAATAGTATCTCAAAACTGTAAATGATTAACATTTTAGAACAGAGAAAATTACAATCTTTACACAATTTCCCATATTGTTCACCAGAGTTTGTATCTTTTGGAAGGGCAAAAAAGTCAATGTGAAGCATGGGTATAATTAAGAAGTGACCATATTATATATACATATATAACTCTATATATTACAAAAACATATATTTGTTTTCTTATTTCTGATATGAATATGAGCGATTTATGGATTTATAGGGGGGAAATTTAGTTTGAATTGCACATGGTAAAGCAAATTAACAATAATTGAAGAGGGTGAGTTGTTAAATTAGACATTCATGCTACCTCTAATCTACAAAAAGCATGTTGTTGTCGTTAAAAAGTGATCTCATTTCTAACGTTCTTTTGGCTAGGATTGTTAGGTGTACATCGATCGAGAGATAATAAAAAAAAAAAGGTTTTCTATTTATTATTATTTTTAGTCAATCTTTCATTCAACGTATATTTACATGTCTCGCTTTCTTTAATTCTACAAGTAGATATAGATAACAAAAATTGTTTAGTTTTGTATTCCGAGTTTTTAATTTACAGGGTTTAATCATAAATTGTATTAGAAAATTAAGTAAATAACCTTATTCAGGAAACCAAAGGTGAAATTTTTGCCATTTATCCATTAATGTATCTGAAGGAACCCCACATTGTTATATGCGATCTCTTTTTTTTATGTTACATTTTTAGAGCAACCGCTAGGGGCATGTGATACTCTAGTTTCTTGATAATTGTTTGATTAATTGATCAAAAAAGATTGGAATTTTGCAGATAATGGCACTTAAAAATAGGGAGCCAACGGAACTAATCAACCTCAACATTAAAGAAACAGAAGGATCTTGCAGCAACAGAAGTGAAAACAGCTCTGAAATCAAACTGGACATCTCAAGAACACCGGCCACCGATAGCTCTCTATCATCACACCATCAACATCATCAGCAGCAACAACCAATCCCCAATCTTTTTCCGGCATCCAATATCGATAGGCCTAATACTAATAACATTGTGGCTCATCAGCTCTTCCACAATTCATCGTCAAGGCCAACAGATCATCAACTTCATTGCCAGAAGCTAGATCAATCGACTGGCATTAAAGAAGAATGCTTCAGCAACATGTTTGTTGGTATCGAAGATCAATCAGGGTTTTGGCCATGGTTGGAACAACCACAATTCAATTGATGCATCAATGAAAATCAAGAAAATGAAAAAACGGTTCTCACGATTTGCCTTCTAGGCTTCGGTTTGATTATATTAAAGATGGAGATCAATCTATTTGTTCTCTAAGCTTTAAATTCTTGTTTTGGTACTTAAATTAATAGAGTAAAAGTTAGAAGAAAAATCAAATATTATCATTTTTAATTCAAGATTAGGGTTTGGATAATCCTTGTATTCAAAGAAATAAAAGGGTATTGATTAGTACACGATTTTGGAGTACGTACAATATAAATATTAGAGACAGATTAGAATATTTGTATATATATACTAATTAATTTCTCTTATTTAATTAAATTACTAACTATATTTATATACTAGAAAACCGTATTTTTCTTCTTCATCTTTTGTTTTATCATTAAACAACTCTTGAGTTGAATCGATTGGTCCAACCCTTTTGATGATTTCCTTAGGATTTTCGTTTTTCGTATTTAATTAATAAGACAAAAGAAATTAATAATATTTTAAATTAAATATTGGAGCTCTGGATAATCCTTGGATCCATTAAATAAAAATATATTCATTTATTTAATTTTCTTTCGGTAAAAAGTAGTGATTTTTCTTCATATCTAACATTTCCTCGATTAAAGAAAGGTTGGTGCAACACTTTTGCTGATTTTGATGAAATCAGAGTAGGACAGTCAAACACTGTTGAATGGTAGTAAAAGAAAAATATTCACATATTTAATTATTTTGTTTAACTTTATTTCATATAATTAAAAAAAAAGTTTCAACCATTATTTGGTGATCATCAGAAATTTTGTTTTTTCTTCTGTACACGTAATTTACGGCCACAAAATTTTTAAGTTATATGTAAAATAAGATATTAACACGAACGAAATAATATATGAAATATGAACATTTATCATTTAATTTTTTGTAGTTATAAAGTTGTTTTATATTCACAGTTTTCATTATCATTTTTTTAATTAATTGTACAGTCACAAAGTTATTACATGGAAAATAGTTTATTTCAACGATTATGATATGTAATGATGTATACAGACGTATAAAATTTATATATAATGGGAGGTTCATTTAAAAGGCTAAATTTTTTTTTGAACGGCAAAAAAAAAAAATTAAATGTTGTGAAAGTGTGAGTGAAGATGGTTCATATGTAAATCATTGAAAATTTTAATTTAGAGATATATATATGTTAACTTATATGAATAATCTGTAATGTTGGTACATATATGTATCTTTAAATAGATCATTTCCAGATGTTTTTAATGACCTTAACCGTCCATTCACACTTTTTGACGATAGTTAATCTTTTTATTCAAATGGTAGCGGTGCAATTAGTCTCCTCGTGTGCAGACCCGTTTCTGACATTTTTTAGGCTCTGGACGAACATAAAAACAGGGCCTCCACTGCAAGAAACAAGGCTTTTAGCAACGACTTTTGTTGTCGCTAAAAGTCCGTTTATCATTAGAAAGAGTATATAACAACGATATGTCATCGCTATAACTTATGAAACATGTCATCGCTAAAAGGCGCATCGTCAAAGCTCACTTTTCTTGTAGTGACCTTCAGTAATAAATGTTTTTCATTAGTATAAAATTGAGTACAAGAACTGTTAATAATTTACTGAGTAAATAAATCTTATTTATCTATATTATAGATATATAAGAGTCAAGAGAATACTTAAATTTACGTACTTCTTATTATATAATTTTAAACCAAGAGTATAGAAACTATGGCTGATAAATTTTTATAAAAAGTAAGAAATTTTTACCTTATAACAAGAAATATGTGTTATTTTGATATAAAAAGAGATTTTCGTGTTAATGAAATAATCATGAGGTCAATGAGAGATCAATAATAAAGAAGATTATCAAGGTTTTTTAGACAAGTAGACAAATGAAGATTAATAAGAATATGAAAGAAAAGATGATCCATTGAGATCTAGTAAAAATAAATAATGAATTAAACATATAATATGTAAGTTCAACAAATGATTGTTTGAGCACTTAAATAGAATCTTGTGGTGTGGTGGAATCCCAATGAAAGATACATAAGTCAAACAATTGATGAAAATATTTAAATTCTATTTTTCTTCTTTTTTAGCTCAACTAAAATAAAATGTTAATATTAAAAGTTTATGGAACTTGACATATATAAGAGACATTACTAAATACATCTAGTAGAAAAAATTTATTGATTAATCACAAAACCATGAAACACATCATAAATCATAAGAATAATAGATTAATTGTAAAAAAAAGTAAAATATTTTATGTAGAAGCAAAAATAGATAACAATAGTTAACAAAAACAATTAGAACAACATAACCAATAGTCAATAAAAATAGAAATTGATAAAAATATCTAACAAAAATATATAGCAATAGCAAGCACATAATCTTAACGTTGAATTGTTGAAGCACGAAAATAGTCAAGCATATAGAGATAGCACTAGCCAATATCATTGGACCTTGTTGGATATAAAAAAAATATTGGGACAATAAACAATAGCATAGAATGAATGATCAATTAATTTGTTTTATTTTCTTCTGTAATTAGTTGATATATTTTTGGGCCCTTATTATCTACTAAATTATTTTTGTCTCTTATTATATGCTACAATTTTTTGGTTTCTTTAATTTATTAAATTATTTTAGACTATTATATATTTTAAGGGAAAAATTTTGGCCCCTTATATTTTTGGGCCCTGGGCGTGCGCCCGTGCCACCCTCCCCAGGGACGGCCCTGCTCGTGTGTGTGTGTGTGTGTGTGTGTGTATAGAGAGAGAGTTGGGTTCACGTGAAACCAACATGTTTTCGGGAGACCCGTGTGAACACATTTTCACACTTGAACTTCACAGCAAAACATTGTGAAAGTAAAAAAAAAAACCGTGTTACATTCGCAGTGTTTTGTTGTGAAGTTTCAAGTATAAAAAAGTTGTCTTACATGTCTCACGAAAATAACTTGGTCTCACATGATCTCAAGTGTATATGTGTGTGTGTGTGTGCGCGCGCATACATGTGTGTGTATTCAAATGGTATGGGTGTAATTAGCCTCATCTTATATATATCTAGGGACATGTTCGAATGAGAAGTTAAACATTTTGCAAGAATGTGAGAAGTTTCAATATCATATATGATTACACGCATGATACACAAGCTTAATCATATATGATTAAACACATGTTGTATTAACAACATATAGACGCTTAATCACATATGATTAAACTCACTCAAATAAGTATAATCATATATGATATTGGAATTTCTCATCTTCTTACAAAACGTTTAACTTCTTGCATGATCTTTTAGAGAGAGAGAGAGAGATGATTGAAATGAGAAATGTAGGACATAAACAAGTGTGTGTATAAGGGTTTAGTATGTGAGAGAGAGAAAAGAAATAAAGGGTATCAAACACACATTCCAAGGTAGAAAGAAGACAAAGAGATGGAAAGTGTAGAAGAAAAGCAAGAGTTGGAAATGGTCACTTTCTTGAAGGGAACATTTGGCAAACTTTTATCCTGCCATTTTTGACAAGAAAAATGGGGCATTGGCCATCATCACAATCTTCTTTTCCTTTTATTTTTGTACCCCATCACCTTTTTTTCATTTGTCCCTTTATGGATGTTACACATTTCCAATCAAATACTTTGAAACCTTTGTTTTTAAATTTATCTTTTTTATATAAAGTAAATACATTTTTTTAATTAGTGTTTAAGTTTATTCGATTCATATGAAATTTGTAGCAGCCATCTTTGGATCCATTGTTAGAACAACGTTATTTTGTTTGTTTGTGGCATAGATTATATATATATTGGTTTCTTGCAACCTAATCTTGAAATTTGGTCTAATCCCTTATAGAGGTTGGTTGGTGTTGGGCTCAATATTCTTTGCTAACCTCCGACACCAATTCATGAATTTGGTTCTTGCTTGGCGTTTTTCATATAAGGAATTAAATTTCGTTTGATAAGACTTTGCACCTGAACTATGCCAATGGATACCAATTCAGGATCCAAGCTTGTTGTTTGTCAGATATGATGCAAATTGTTCAGGTCAGTGTTCGTTTCGATCAAGTTTTGTTGGAGGTCAACATCTTTTCAAGACTAACTAATTTGTATGTGTGAGTGCAATTAATACAACAATTAGTTTTTCAACGGAGCCTCAAATGTATTTGAATCCTAAAGTTCGAAACAGTTGATGACTATTATCGTAATTACAAATCCATATATCTCATGCTTAGGAAGCTAGTTTTGTCTTCCTTTTTGAACCTTTGTGGCTATAAGTATCCGTTACTATTTTTTGAGATTTTTATTAACACGATCCAACTTGTTATCAAACTATACTTCCTCCATTAAATCCTCTTCAGAAACATGCAACGTCTTCATTTTTAGTAAAATTTCAATCATAAGTTACCTATATGTTTGTTAACAATCATGTCAGGAACGATATGAATCAAACAAGTCTTATAATTTTATTTCAATCGATGCCCTCTATCTCAAAAGGTTACAACACTCTTTATTTTGTATTGTCAAAAAAATACCACCATCTTTTTTATAATATAATTGTTGTAGGATTTACTCCTTCCCCCACTAGCAAATATTCAAGATACACCACAGGAAACAGGGGCTTTGGCAACGGCTTTATCGTTGCTAAAATGCCATTTATCGTCAAAAACAATTTATATCGTTCACTATAACTTGTGGATAAAACTGTGTCACTAAAGGTGCCTTGTTGAAACTCATTTTTCTTGTAGTGATATAATCACTTAGGGTTGTGGCGTATTGGTTACGTCTCAGGGGAATGCAGTGGAAAATCTCATCTACTTATAAAATCAAATAACTGAAACTAAGTTATATGAACATTTGTGAACAATAGTTCATTAATTATGAACACATTCAGAAGCAAGCCAATGTTGAAATATGCAGTTAGTGTACATATGAACACAATATGAACAACTTGTAAACAATAGTTCCTTCATTATGAACATATTCAGGAGCGAGACAATGTTGTGATATGCAACTAGTGTACATATGAACACTTGTGAACAATAGTTCCTTCATTATGAACAATGAGTATATCCATAATAGTTTGAACGATACCGAAAACTTTACTACCGGGTCTCTTCTACCAATCACAAATTCAAAAACATTATAGATAGAAAAATCAATATTATATAAAAAACAAGATCAATAATAAATTAACAAAAATTATAAATTCAATATTAGATGTCTTGATTCATGTCCCTA